AAGCAATGTGTGCCACGAAAAGCTTTTGACTATTAAAAGCAAGAATAAAGATGAATTCTCCAAATGTTATTCAACTTGAAGCAAGAAAAGCGAAGAAGATATGACATAAAGATACCCTTAAGAATATAAATTTTAAAATATGTTAGTTAAACCCCCCTGAAATAAGATAGATTTATTAATTTATAATAAAATGGTTTTTAATGGCAGAACATTTCATTAAGTACAAATATTTTCTTTCATCTTTCATTCCTTTGTGAAAACATCTTCAATCAAAAAGTTATTTCAATTCAAGTTGAACATTCCACTCAAGGTCTAGCATACCCATTAATTAAAATTCAACCGATAACTCTTAACTCATGGAAAGGGAATCCACCCCCTAAAAAAACATGAATATGTGAGGTTCAAATAGAATGGGCTAAAATAACATTCATAATTAATACAACTAGCAAAGAAGATGAGAGCAAAGAAGGGGGAATATGAATTTGTTTAGCTTATAAATTTGTTAAAACAAACCCAAAGCCAAAAACCAAAGCCAAAAACCCGAAGAAGCAAAAGCCAAATGCCAGACAGAACCCACATATTTGCTGAATGAATTGTGGCCAGAATATGCAAGAAATATTGAGGGCAATAAAACCGGTCAAGAGCATCGTAATAAAACTCAAAACCGAAAGGCATTGGACGTGGTCCAAAAAGGGGAAGGAAGAAGGGGGCCAAAAGTTTAAATCTAGCAGCTGAGCGGAAAATGATTTTCAGGCAGCTAAATGGGTAAACAAGTTGGCGAAATGACTTACTAATTTGTGACATGATCCAAGTTAGCCAAGCCAAGCGGATAAATGCGACATCCTACCTTTACCTAGAGATGATATCTACCATCCCCTGGCCACCTCCACCCCGCCTTTTGTCTCAGTTTATAGCCTTCATCCTGTAGTCCTTCAGAGGAGCTTCATTGTCAATGATGTGCATTGAGGAGTGAAGAGTAACGTCAATATAAACAGGACAGTGATCAACAGCAAAGTACTCTGTACTTTAAAATTATAAAAAAGGAATATATTACCCTATTTAGATGACAAAATAAAATCAAAAACCATGTTTAAATACATTTTTTCCAATAAGATACTATACCCAAAACATTCTCAACTATTTTGTAAAGATTTCCCTACCTTTGCATACCTCAAAAAAAAAACATTCAAGGATAACAGGATAATAACAGGATTACCAAGTTAAGAACACCGATAAAGTAAAAGAATGTACTTTATTAAATTGCTACCAAGTCTCAGACAATTTGTATGGAGGTCCCATGATAATAAGGCTTAAGTATGCTATTAAAATTATTATTGTAGTTGTGATTTTTATCCCAAATAACAACACTACCATATTTTCCTGATCACTGGGTAAATCGGCAACAAAACAAAGCAAAACAGTTCCTTTTCCTTTCATTCCCATTTTGCCATCCTTCGTTGGCTTTCTCTGTGTGTGTTTTGCTGTATTTTGTTCGCCGGCCTTTTCCTTTCTACCAGCTCTTCCGTTTTGCCATTGGCTTTGTTTATTTTAAGTCCATTATCCGTTATCCTTTATGCGTTGCGCTTAGAGCCATGTGCTCATGTGGCCCAGAGGCCCCTATTCCTGGCTCAATTCCGATAGCTGACTCTGGCTTGGCCCCGGTGACTTTAGCCCTCTGCTATGGATAAGCCTTTAGACGGTAGTATTACCATGTGCTTTTGCATATTTAGTTTGCGGTTCCGCAATGCTCCTTTACGCCTTCCCGCTCCCCCTTGCCTGTTTATTGTTTGTGCAGCCGCCTGCAATTTCATTAAAGTTATGCAGCAGGCAGGTTATGGCCTTTCCTCCGGTCATCTGACCAAGTGCCGAGGACCTCTTCCCAGTCAGTGGGCACTGTCAGGTGCTGGTTTGGCAGACAGCCAGCTCTCAAAGCCAGGACCTTCGCCTTCGACGCCTCAAAGTCCTACGTCATTGCCGAAGGCAGTCCTCGAGGCATTGATTGCTGCTCAGCTGCTCATAAACACAGATCTCATTGAATATTAAAATGCTAATTTAATTGCTCAGGCAGAAAGGCTAAAAAAGGAAGCAATTTTCCTGAATATATTCTTAGATGTTTTTAAACCCTTTACTGATATATTTTGAGGTCTTTTTTTAGTTCTTCTTACGCATAAAAGACACGTGACTCTTCATAAATTCTTTGCTTAATTTAATTCCCGGAGGAATATTTTACCTCTGTCCCCACTTTGTTAAGTTTTTTTAATAAATCAAAAAAATTCCTTTGTTTTCTCTGGATTTAAGTGGCGCACAGCACACTAAATGAGAATGAGAATGAGAGCAATTTAAGTGAATTGCATTTTGATCAGAGTCCAAAATATTTTCCCCATTCGAATTCCATTCGATTGCATTTCGATGCTCTCGCATGCCGCATAAAGCACGAAGTTTATGATTGTTTATATGGCAGACATGAGTACACATTCTTGCATATCCGCATTTGCAGTTTATAGTGTTTATACACCAAATATTGGGTGTGTCTGTGTATTTCATGGACAATTGCTGAGTAAATAGAAAATCGTGTTTCAGTTCATTGTTTCGCGATATGTACTTACATTTATTTCTGTTTAATTTGGCAAAACCGGAAAGGTCAGAGTCAGGTGACCCGTAATGCAATGGACCATATATAGAGGCCTCCTAAAGTAATTGCATTGAACTTGAATTTTGTATGCTCGTAATTGAGTTGAACTTGGAAAAAGCAGCGTTTTGTATTTCAGCAACGAAGTGTGGCAAGTTCAAGGACTCGCATTTTCCATCTCATGTGTCAAAGGATGCCCGGGGAATTAAAGCGAAGCCGAATAGACTACGCTCTCGGATTAGAAAAATGAAAGCTGCACATGAATGGAGAACGTATTGAACTGAGTGCTGCCCTGCCTCCGGGATTGGGGGGTTCCGGATTCGGTTATATTGGAGACTGGGTTCATGGGTTTCCCTGGGACTGAACTGGCCAGAAGTTGCCATCGAATTCGTGCGTGGACTGCAAACAAAAGAGGATTGTGCTGGCACTAATCAGCCGGAGTCCGGCTCCGGCTCCAAAAGGAAGGAAGGGTCGTAGGTCAGTGAAGGAGAGCTGGGAAAAATAATTCCATGAATAAATTAACACGCTCAACAGCTGATTGGATTTGGCTTTTAAAGGCTAGAGATATTATTCCCAATGCGGGTCGCATATTCAATTACTAATTAAAGACGGTCCACGTGGTGGCTACAGCTGTGTAAATAAATACTTGGATTTATCTGCAGTGAAAAAGAAACCCTAAGGAATATAAATATGGGAATGCTCTTTCTACATTTATTTATCCAAAATCGATATATTATATGTTATTTGGTGCTACCTAAAGGTATTCAAAGCTATTAAAAATATATGTCTTACCCCAAGGTAGAGTAAGCTCATATTCGTTCGAGGAAATCCAATGAATTACAACCGAGTAAATGTGCTCAAAGCTTTCAGCTAATGACATTCAGGCTAATTAGTAACGTGTTCACACAAATTAGGCATAGATTAGATGGAATATCATTCGATATGAAATTGAATGCCAGACGAGCACAGGTTAGGGGCAGTCTCCTAGCCATTGAACCCATATTTCATGCACAGTAATTGAAATTAGTCAAAAGACCTTTAGTCTTACAAACTTTAGGTAGAACTTTTTACGGCCTCATCTTCCAAATGGAATTTTAATTTGCGTTGAGCCATCAATTTCCTAAAACGCTCTCACATCACACCCCGGGTCAATTATAAATTCTCTGTAATCCATAAAGTTTTCTCTTTGCAAGATAACTGGCCCTGGACGAAACTTTTTGAGACCATCTTTTTACGCCACACCAGGACATTTAGTTGCTCAAAGTTTTAGCTAGAGCCAGGTTGCCAAAGAACATATCTTAAGTCAGATGAGCCGGCATAAATCCAAACTAAGACCCAGGCGAGCCTACGAGGTAAAAAGTCATAGAAAACGGGAAGGAAAGTACTAGTTACACCAGGAAAAACAGTAGGAAAATTAAGCAAAGTAATAGACTTAAATTCCCGGACTCTCATAATATTATATAAAATATATATATAATGCTTTGAACTTTAATTCATCAGATTAAGGCTTTTTTAATAAGTAAATTAATAAAGTAAACATGTAAATAACCCAAAGGGTTTTCTATATTCCCTTACCGTATTTAATTGTTGAAAAAATTCCAAACACTCCATTAACAAAGGCAAACATTTAGTATGTTTGAATAATTATTTTCTCAGTGATGCAAGGGGGATAAACAGGAAGTCCGCCGGATTACAGGAAGTGCGGAACTCTGCACAAGATTACACTCCAACCTCTGATGGCGCATAAACTTTTGTGTTTAACTAATTGCTGGCTCATACTAACATCACACCCACACACTCACATATCCCCGCCCATTTGGGAAACTCATGCAATTTCCAACTCTGACACTAAACCGCATTGCCTGTCTGTTTGCCTGCCTGGCTGTTGTTGTTGGGGTCCCAGTTTACTATCTCATTACGTATACTTAATAATTTACAAAAATATTCACATTACGCATACGCCCCGTACAACGGAAATGTAAATAAACCAAAGCCAACATTGCACTGCGAACCGCAGGCGGCATGCTGCAAAAGGTTAAAGGGGGACTAGGGGACACCAAAGAATGTACTAAAATTAACGTAAACCAGAAGCCAAGTTTGGCTACGGGAAAAGCTTCAGTGGTTTCGCCTGGTCCGTGGTCTGCAAAAGTGCTCCATCTCTGTATGTGTGTGACGTTTAACATAATTAAATAATTAAGTGCTTAGAGTGGCAAGCAGCTTATAAATGAACTAAAGCCCCACAAAGGAGAATAAAAATGTTCGGGATAAATTCGAAGCTCTCACACCCCTCACACGGGGGCGTATACTTAATGTTTCGGCTATATTAAAAGGCACAAATCAGAATTTATTTCCTGTAATTTTGCATACATACCGCACAGGAGAAAAGTTTTTCCCTGCGAATTTCCCGTATTCTTCTCCTCGATTCCGGTCGACTGCTGATGATAACGTTGATGTTGATTAGGCTGATGATAATTTATTTGAGAATTTCGTATGCATTAAAGAACAACATCTGAAGAATTTTCGCATTTTTCCTCGTTTTGTTTGTTTGTTGTTGTTTTTTTTTTGTTTCGCTTTGTTTTGAACTGTGAACTTTTGAACTTTAAAATGTGCGCATTTTTCCGTTGCCAAGGCAAACTGCATACCAAATGAAATGCCCGTTTAAAGGAACAAAATATTTGAAATAATTATTGTGAATTTATTTGTACATCCCTTTCCCTTTCGATAACTCGCTCGGCATTTTGTTTTTCTTTACTGCGGCTGCTGAAAAAAAGGTCTTGGCAAAATAAACTGTGTAAAAACTTTCTCCTTTTTCACACACACGCGCGGGATCAGAAAAAAAGGAAATTCAAATTAAACTGATTTGTTGTAGCCACCGCCGGTTTGGCTGTTTGTTGCCAATATTGTTGCTTTTGCGAAATTTTTATGGTTGACAGTTCGTTTTTTTATGTATTTGTTGTGGCCGAAAAGGGTCCTTAAAGCGTGTAACCAACGAGCGAAACACCAAAACAAAAAATCCATTTCCAACGACAAGGGAAGGGAGATGAACAAATAATCAAGTTCAAGTTTAATTCTGGGAAATCGAATCATGAATATTGAATTTATGAAGCTGTTTATTATTGCAGAAAATTATTAAAACGAAAAAAACTCGAGATTTGCTATGGGACATGGATATGTGGATATATTTCTGTATTTATTTTTGGTTAATCTCCAAAAAATATTTCAGTTTAATTAAAAAGCAAAACGATATGTTTTTTGCTGAATATTTATTTGAGATCTTTGCTTTATTTATTTAACAAAAAGACAGTTTTAAAGAAAACTTAACTAAAAAAGTAAAAAACACATCTTTCTCCATCATAATTTTATATAAATTCTAGTTAGTTGCATTTCAGACTTAAAGCAAAAATTTCTTTATAAACTACTTCCACTTCCACTACTTCCTCCCTGCCACACATTGCGTATACGCAACGTGGAACTTTAAACAAAGTACTGTAGTAATTGGAGTAGGAAAATGGGCACAAATCAAGTCAAAACAAATCAAATTAATTTGTTTGCTTTATTACTTTGACCCAGTGGTTTAAACAGTAATGGAATTGGGAATGTAGGAGGAGGAGGAGGAGAGACAGCGTGTTGAGACTGACACCAAATGGTTGGCAATTTGCATACGAAATAGGCAAAATTGGCAAAACTGAAATTGCAGGTGGAAAAAAAAGCCAGCCCACTGGCATAGGTGAAATTACATAAAAAGGCGCGAGTGTACAAATAACAAATCCAAGCCAAACAAAATGATTGAGAGGCATAAAGACACGCCATTCAGTCATCAATAGGACAGGCCCCGATAGCCATCTCAGCCCCGTCCAACCAAGTCCTTCGCCTCCTCGTCCTCAAGCTCCCCATCAACTAAATCCCAATCAGTCAGCGAGAATCAAAGCGCAAATCAGCGCCCGACAAAAGTCAAATTAGAAAACAGGAAGGGGGAAAAAAGAAGAATGGAAAAAATAACGAGAAATAAATGAGGTTTCAGAACCAAAACATTAACACCCTTTCAATGCATTTTAATATATTTTAAATACCAAAGATTATAGAACATAATATAGAGGAACCACTTAAAAAGGACATTAAACATGGAATCAAATGAATAATATCTTTCTAATATAAGCAACTTAAGAAAAGATTTACTCCTACTACTTAACATCATTCGAAATTATCATCAAAATTCCCTTTGTAAGGGTATAAAACAAAAACAGAATTCATGGACAAATGAAGCGTCAAATTAGAAAATAATAAAAACAGAAATATACGGCAAATCTATACAAAATAAGTATATGAAAATATATACAATGCAGGGGAATGGAAATCATAACAAAAAACAACAACAAACCACGGCAGTTGAGATACTTGAGCCGGAAGCGTACTCGGTGGCAACAACAACAATGAATCAAGGATCCGGGTAGGATTCAAGGATGCAGCCCCGTGAAGACAGCCAAGCGGCAAAGATAAACCCGCATTGAAATCGCCAAATGAATGGGAATATCTATATATATAGTAGAGACGGGAAGACGAGATTGAAGCGCCGGCGGATGGTTACAGTGTTGGGTTTGCCATTGTTATTACTGCTGTAATACGCTTTGCTGGGAGATTACAATTTCTGATTACTTTGTTATTAATAAACACAAAAAGCGTGCCAAACACAGTGCCACAAATACACACACACACCCATCCTTCCCAAGATGCATGGTGACACATTGCGAGCACATTAGTTGATCGACAATGGAACTACTCAGCTGGAGAATGCCAGGGTACGACTCACTGAAGTATGGTTAAATAGGATTGGGAAGAGTATAAGGTTTTGACAGGGACAACTAAATTATAGTTATTTATAAACACTATTCTGTTCCAAGAATGGTGAATAATAGGGAAACTAAGCTGCAAGGAAGAGGCAAAAATCTCTAACTTCTGAAGTTCTAAGGCAAACTAAATATAGCTCCTTGAAGGATAAAGACCTTAAGCACTTCCCTTATTTTAAAAACTATTTTATGTACTTTTACATTGTAAAAAATTCTAATAAAAACACCCAAGGTAGAAAAAAGGATTTTATCCCCCATAAACTAAGCTCATCATACCTTTCCAATATCTGTGAAAAACCGTGAACAATGTCATTGCCCAACCCCCCTTCCGCTTCCCGGGCAGGAAATTCGCCTCCCCCTAAGCCGCCTGTCTGCAACGCGTTTATTTTATCATTTTGTGTGCTTTGTTAGGCAAAACGTTTTATTAATAAACTTTTCTGTACCGAGGCCCACAAAGCCGAACAACAAATACCAAACAACAACATTGGGAGCCCTTTTTGCGAGGGAAAATAAAGGAAAATGCATTCTGTGTGCTGTTTGTATTTGTTGTGCTGGGAAATTCAATGGAGAGCTGCTAAGCCAACAGCTAGTTGTTGTGACACTGCCACTGAATTGATCGGACGGAATTAATGGAATGACAATTGCAAAATGTTAAATAAGAGGCGACACACGAAGACAGATTTAATTTGTTACACAGCAAAAACTTTGACAAAATTAATTGCATTTTAATTGTTTTCACTTGTGGAGCGAAAGGGCTTGGTTGTATTTTGCGGTTAAATTAAGTATGTGTGTAATTCGTTTTCTTTCAAGGCAATTTGCTGGTTATACAGTTATTTCGGCTATTTCCGTTTATTCAATTTACTTTGCAATTTTAATGCCGGTTTAATTCATATTTAATTTTGATTTATTCGAGCCGTTTGTTGCCATGTTACACGTTGAGCGCCTTCCTTGGGTTCATCTTTATTCACTGTGGGACTTCGTTTATGGTAATTTTGATTTATATTTGCTAATGATTTGTGGCTTTTACATTTTTCGGGGGAGGAATGAGTAATTTTTGCTTATCTTTAAGATGTTTCGGATGCCTAAATTCGTTTACGGAAACTGGGAAATGTTTATAAATTTAACATTAATATTGCATTTTGTTTGGATTTTATCCCACAATTAAATTGAGTTGCCTTTAAATTATGTTTGTTTATTGTTTAAGAGAAGGCAGTGTTGAGAATTCAAGGAGCTTGATATTTTAGTTTTTATTTATTAATTATAACTGCTTATTTTGCACTTTAATTATTCGTTTTGTTCCTTATTATATATTTATAGTATTTATATATACTTATTTTATATGTCTACTGAACAAATAATACTTCAATTATTCAAATTGTTTAATAAAAACACTCACTTCCTAGACAAATTTGTATACCCTTTCGGGGTATTATAAGTTTAGTCAGAAGCTACAAAAGTAGTGAAGGAGTCATTTCCGACCCTATAAATCATATATTTTCTTGATCAGAATCAGATCTGAATCGATCTAGCCTTGTCTGGTAGAAAAATAAATTTTCAACATTTTTTCGATTTTTTCAAAAATAGATAAGTGGTTACATCGTTAAAATTGTCGAAAATTGGCAAAAATTTGAATTTTCTAAAATTATTTATGGAGTATGCAGATTTATTAACATAATAAAAACCAGCATAGAAATGCTATCCGTATTTAGATTAGTGCATTTTTGGCTAAGTTATGCTATTTTAAAACGTTTGATTTACTCAAAAAATTAGCCTATAAAAATATTTATTTAAAATATGTACAATGTAGATATTTTAGAGTTTCTTGGAAGCTAAAATACTTATTTATTTGCTTTTGCTTTTGCTTTTGATTTGCAATCAAAACATTAAAACGAACTTTTGTAAGGAGCCACATTATAATTAAAATTGTTACATTTTTAATTTGCAATTTTTGGTTTTGTTTAATTGGTTAATTTGTTAAATTTACTATTCCATCATTTAAGAATCTAATTTTGGGATAATTCCTTGCAAAATTAATTCATTTTCGACAGTTTTTGATCCCATTTGTTTTAGGTTTTCCCGTCTTATCAATTTTGATCCAGTTTTTCATTGTTATCAATCGTTGTTTATGTTTATCCATTGACACATCTGCTGCTCCCGCACTCCCTCACCTTTAGCACACTTTCACTTTGGGATTCACTGAATGATTTTCACATATGTATCGCCGGGAGAGGTGGCGGATTCGTACTCGATGGGACATTATCTTGTATCTATGGCCCTTCAAACGCTTTTCACTGTTGCTCGGCCGTCTATCTGTGTCTCACTCTCTCGCACTGTATCTTCTTTAGTCCGGCCGCATTTTCCGCTTTTCCGTTCCGATACCGCTCCGTTCGCATTCGGCAATATTTAACCCGCAACTGGCTCGAGTTTTCCTCGTCGGTCGGCTTTTATACGATTTTCCCCGTAGCCGTTTCGTCAAGTATTGAATGGCCAAAGCTTCGGCAGGCTTTTCCTTCATTTTTCGCAAGCTTTTCCCTTGTTCAACGCTTAACGAAAAATGAGATTTGACTTTCAATCAGAGACTGTTTACAGGTGTTTGTTTTGGCCCCGATTTGTTTGAGGTTTACCCCCTCCCAGAAAAAAAAGGAAAACAAAAATGGGAAAGAGTGCAATGCACTTAAAGCTTCTTTGGGGTTAGATTTTTATTTGTTTTTGATATCTCGCGTGGAGGAAAATGAGAAAAACTGAAAAGAATGTACAAAATGCCAGCCACTTGTTGCTTCAACTTGATTTTCCTTTCTCCCAACGCAGCGTTGTATTTTTTCTTGCTCCCTTCTGGTGCTGAATTATTCATAAGTAATTCAACATCGTCGGGAACAACCCATCTTGCCAACGCCAGAAACATAAAAATCCCATTTATATTTAGGCTCAACACAAACACCCTCCGCCGAAACCGAAACAGAAATAACATTTAAAACTTTTCAAATATTTATACGGCCAATTGGAAAATTGCTGAATTATTGAACTGGCGTGAACTTGTCAGCGCGGCGAAGTTGGGGAAAACTTTCTCGAGATTGGTTAATGAAAATGTATGCCGAATGCCAACACGTAAAGAAAACAATAAAACCCGGCCACGGGCGGCAACAAATCAATTGAGAGAGGGGGCGTAGGCGAAGGAGGGGGACAGGAGCTGCAAGGACGACAAGGACAGTGTCTTCCAGAGAAGAGTTCCTGGCGTCGTTCCGTGAGCTTTGTGAAAACATTTTTCTAATTTCCTGTCATCAATATAAATGAAATGTTCACGGCAGCAATCGACTTGTTAATGGGTAGCATGGGGATTAAAGGGGTATATTTGTGGCTAGTTTAGGGCAGGAATTTTTAAACAAGAATTATAAATTTCAACACCTAAAAGACTAAGCTAATTTATGTATACATTTATATGTTTAAAATAATATAAATATATATAAAAATTGAGAATGATTCAGCTTCTTTTCCTCCTATGAGTAAGCTTGTGAAATATAATACATAAACTTGAATAGAAATATAAAATTTAACTGTCCTTCTTCACCAAGTATCTTCTATTCGACTTCCCCCAGGACCTGTCCTTGTCCCTCACCCATTGCGTGTGAAAACCATCATCGATGTCGGAAAAGTATTTGTCTATGTATTTTGTAAAATTAAACAACAATTGTCGCACAGAACAGAAACAGAAATTCGTAGTGGAATAATAATAGGAGGAGTGACCCAATGGTGTGTTTGGACTAGAAGCGGAGTCGCTTCACGGAGCGATAGTGGTAGCCATCATCCAACAGGGCTGAAGAGTCCTCATCGCCATTGGGCAGCTCCTCAACGACAGCATTTCCATCTAGGGGAGGAAGATACTCCTTCACGGGCAGCAAATCAGGCACCACCGAGGGCGTGCGGTAGTGATAGCCATCGTCCAAGAGAATTGCAGACTCCACTTCCTTCTCCTCCTTGGGTGCCTCCTCCACATGCTCCAGGGTCTTGGGCACCACATCCTCCTCGGGCTCTGTGATAACTTCCACTTCCGGCAATGGCTCGGTGACAGCCTCTGTGGTGGGCTCCAGCGTGGTGGTTTCCTCGGGAATTATCACCTCGGTGGTGGTCTCCTCTTCAACGACAGGCGGCAGGTACTCATTGTTGGGCAATGGGGGCAGATAATCACGGGGTGGCTGTAGCACATGGTTCAGAGTGGCTGCATGCTGCTCCACTGGTGGCAGATAATCGCGACTTGGAACAGGTGGCAACACCACTGGAGGCAAGTACTCCAGCGGAAGGTGGCTCACATCACGACGCACCACAAAGCGGCAACTGGCCAAGCCAAAGGTGGCTAGGAGTAGACACAGCACTTGGGTTCCTTGCTGGAAAGTAAAAGGAGAATATAGAAATATAAATTTAGGGTTTTAGTTTCTTAATTGGAAAATTATCACCAGGTTGACACTTATATATCTTCATATTATAGTACCATATTTCTTACCATATTTCTTGTAATTAAAACGTTCGCTTCACTTGCTCTGCAATCTGGTTCTGACCTGCTCAATCTGTTGGAGCTGCGTTTGGGTTTTGCTGCTGCTGTTGAAATCGTTTTAACTATTTATACAAAAAATTAGCGAGACCACTAAAAGAAGTTCGATGGCAAATCGAACGTAATCGAACCGCATTAACACATTTGACGAAACACCTGTATTTTTTGGGGCCAGGCATCTTCAAACGTGTTCGACGCCGGCTTTTTCGGGCCCTGGCAATGGTCATTGATCGGTGAAGAGACCCGGAGATCGGAGATTGGAGATTGGCGATCTGAGAAACTGAAACCGACTCGTGTGTTTACCTATTTGCTCTGCACTATTTGATTGCCGAAGAATCTGTCAATATTTTCGTTAGAGATTACCCCAACCCCATTGGCATATGCCATCGCCTCATTCCCTTCCGCCATTCTGCAAACACAATTGAAGCTGGGTCTCTTTCCTATAAATATAAGTATTTTTTTCTTTAGGGGGGAGAGACCTTCGAAGAGGTTTCAATGTCGCCGATGTAAGGTTTCAATGTCAAGTGTTTTTTGGGGCATTGTAACAATTACACCGACTGCAGGTCGACAATGACGCTGCTGAAAAATAACTTACCTCTTCGATCAGAATGGTGTCGAAGAAGTCACGCAATGGGGCGATGTAATTTGTTGCTGCATCATCCAACAGCAATTAACCGACTTATCGCACTTGACCGGCTCAAAAAAAAAGAAACACATAAAAAACCGAGTGGGTTAAAAAATACGAACCGAATGCTCTTCAACTGTCTAAACCCGCTTAAGATGAAATTGAAAACGAAACTCCAAATTGAAATCGAAATCGGACTCAAAACACAAAGAGAAAGAATGAATGAAAGCTCTATGCAAAGAGTAAAAGTTGGGAATAAATTCAATCAAATGCCATAAACCAAGCGAAGCTGTCACAAATCCATTTACCAATAAAAATATTAGTCTACCAATCTGCATCAATCGAAAAAAATAACATAAGGGGATATTTATTTCATGATTTACACAAAGCCTGAAATACCCTTTAAATATAACACGATGTAGGGAAGTTATTTATAAGTGAGTGAATCGTGATTATTTTGACACATATTCAGACAGAATATATATAGACAAAGTATACAAATATAGTGCTAATCAAGCATTTAATTAGTAAGCAAACTTTTAGAAATATTTCACAGCTTTACAGCTATAAATAAGCTATACTTAAGGTCTAATTGCAAAAGTTGAATTTATTTATAGTGTTTATTTATCAGATTAGACAGAAAGCCAAGCCCCGAAGCTTATAAGAATTGTGATTAATTTCTCTTCTAATTCAATTAAGTTTTAATATAATAATAAATCAATTTTAAAAATTATAGAATTTTTATAAACCCTTAGATAACTTTGTAGTACCCTTAGCCCATAAAAATAGAACCAAACAGATATATATGCCTTTGCAAACATTTACATTTTCTATATAGATAGGTGTGTGTGTCCTTGTGGTTCTGGGTTTCATGCCAGAAAAAAAGAAAGAAAGCCCAATACTCTCTCCATCGATGCGGCGAGCAAACAAACGAAAAAAAAAAGTAAGAGTAAAAATGTTTTTTGATCCGCCATTACGACCAGTCCAGAATCAACTACCTCCCTTTCAATTCAATGTAATTTTTGTATGTTTTTTTTGTGCTGTCTACGCATGCCGAGGATTAGTACAAATTGAAAAATTTCACCCACAATTCCCAGAGCGAGGAATCTGATGGGTTTTCCAGTGTGCCACCTGTTTGCGTAATAGAAAAGCTAAATATTTAGTTAGGAATTTTAACTGAACTGCAACCACGCGCGGTTCAATGCCTCTGGGTCTGTTTGAAGGCGAAACTTCTATTAGAATTTCCTGTAGAAATGGTCTAAAAAGTTCATTCAATTCAGTGTGCTTCAGTGCAGTTCCTGCTGCAGTATTTTTTTTTTTTTTTGGATTGGAAAGTGGTAACGGAGGGTAAATGGTAAAAGCGAATATTTGTTCAAGCGTCTGCCACTCGGGGAGTTCGGCAGTAAGCAACCTAAAAATAGCAGTAGCTGCAGCATCACAAAACCCCAAACTAAACAGGCGAAAAAAAAAATTGTATTGGGCAAACCAAGAGGGAAAAACTATTCAAATTCTGGTAATGGTCAAATCGATTGGGCCATGTAGAGTGCCAAAACTTCATGGAAGCGAACAACAATGAGAGATTTAGGACAGATTACAGTCCTGGGCAGGAAGATTTTAGAAATGTTTTCGATGTAAAAACAAATAAACATTTCCTCTGTGGATATACATATATATATTTTTTAAAACTAGGGTATTATAATTTTAGTCAGAAGCTTGCAATAATGTGATGAAGTCATTTCTGACCCTATAAATCATATATATTCTTAATCAGCATAAAAATCTGAATCTTTCTAGCCACCTTCGGGAGACAATAAATTTTTTAGATTTTTTTTAATTTAATAAGGGTTACATCGTTAAAATTGTCAAAAATTGCAAAAAAAAAAAATGCATTTTTTAGAATCTTACATTGAGTATGCAGATTTAGTAACCCTATAAAAACTAGCACAAACCCGCCTTCCGAATTGAAATTAATGCATTTTTGGCTTAGTTTTGAGTTCTTAAAACTTTGATATGCCAACAAATTTGTCATACAAAAATATGGATTACAAAAATGTAAATACTTTGAGCTTAGTTTTGATATATTGTACAAATATATTAATGAAATATATATACAAATATATGATAAGGATTTTAAGGGCGTATCTAGACATTAGTTATAAATCCACAACTCACAAATGAAAGAAAATATATCATAGCCAAAGCTCAAGCAAGTGTAGTTTACCTTACCTTACAAGATCTTCATATTTCATTAACTCAAGTCCCAGGTTCCTGGCCTCTCGAATCCCCTCAAGATTGCAGCTTTCGAGTAACTCTTTGGCAAGTCAATTGCCCTTGCCTCCCCCTTTTTCCCACACCCGAACTTTGATTGATGTTTGCCTTCTGCTGGTCTTAGTGTCATTTGCATGCAAAACTTGTGAACTACGCAGCACATATAGTAAGCCAGGATGGAGCAGGGGGGTAGTGAATAGAAAGCTAAACAAAATGTAATCACGCCATGAAATATGCAACAGATGTGTAGAGGGAGAGAGATGCTGCGGAAGAGGATTCACAGCAGGAAGGACGAGCCAGGAGGCAAGGCAACAAATTAGAAGCAATTCACGTGCCTGTCAACTTAACACATTACGCTCCAATTACGCGCCTCCGTACGGCAAAGAGGATACGGATACCAATCGTAGGATGTGCGGCAGGAGGCAGGTCCTGGACTCCTTCTAGGCTCCTCGAATATCACTTTTCGCATAATAAAATCACTCGGAGCCCGTCGCCTGTCGCCTTAGCTTTGCAGTTTGGCAGGATCGCAAAAGGAGTCGCCCAATCGGCTTGGGAAATGCAATGCATACTAAGTAGACAACGCCTCGACCGGAGAGGACATCACTTATGCAACAGGCTCTGCAGAAGGAACATCAAATCCTTGCCAGGGGAAAAGCAATTCTAGAAGGTGTAACCCAGAAAAAAAAGGAGATCGGGCTTTTATGACCACAGGGAAAAATTTAATTACAATTTACAGGTTGGCCTCTGTCAACCCTTTTTACGCCGAGATGCACTGTGACAAAAATATATAGAGAATAGAGTAGAAATATTTATTACAATTAAGCCAAATGAATTTTCTCTTTGCAGATGTTTCCAATTAAATTACAAAAAGTTCTAAAACTGTATAAATTAATGAGGAACATTTGTTAAATATACTAACCCTGAATGGAAAATTAAATTACAACTTTAACAAGTAAAAATCTTTAGATTAAAGCAAATGGCCCAGAATTGTCAAGATAAATGTATGTTAATTGTGTGTCTCTAGAACTTGGCATTGAACTGACCCCGACTGAAACTCAATTAATTTTGAATTCCTTTTGGCAAAGTGTTGTGCCAAACGGCTTTATCTTGGCCCCTTTTTTCCCTATTTCCCAGCTTGGTTTATTTATTACATTTCATTCCGGCTTTGCTGATGATTTGCCTCGATTCTCTCGGACTCTTTTGGGTCGCACTGTCAAAGCGAATTTAATTGTCTCTATTATGCGCTAAATGTCGCCGACTTCCAGCAGCTTCCACCAGGACTCCCAGGACTCTAGAACCCAAATCAAGCCAAGCCAAGGTCAAGCGGGTACCCTTTTCTCTCGGGGGAATTGAGGAACCAGAGACAAGGCGACGACAAAGCAACTTCATTGAAGCAATTTTCACCACCTTGAAGGAGGAGTCTTTATGAGTTCGAGTGAGGCGACAAGGACAACCAAATAATCAAGTGACTTACTAAAAAGTTAACGCAATTTTGTGGCAACTTCAAAAAGTTTCGTCAACCCCTTTTTCGCGGTGACGTCTTGTCTTGTTCTGGCCTAAAGGAATCTCACCCAGGAATGCCACCCCCTGTCCTTTCTCCCACCATTCGTCTTCCGTTTTGCTATTCCTGTCTTCTGGCCATTGTTTCTGTCGTCGCCTTCACGCTCAGTTGAATGCACTTTTGTGCCTTCATTACCAGGACGCGAAAAAAAGGACGAAAGGCCTTTGGGCCATTGGTTACAAGTTGGTTAGTTGAAAGTCGTTAAAACGCTTATTTTGCAAAGACATTCAAGGAGGAGTTTGCTGTGAAATTGTTTTTTAATTATAATTTATAGAAAATACTTTTACGGTCCTGCGTAATACATATTAAGATTCCAGTATTATTATAAGAAATTCTACCTTAACTCCTATCCTTTGATTAAAATTGTGTATCCCTCGTTTCTGTGTCTTGTTTCCACGCAAACTCCTTAACAAAATAGATGAAACATTGCGATCCCTAGAGCAGGCATAGCATTAGATACACTTGCTGGCGTTTAATGCGGCGTATACGTAATTTTCTTTGCAGGTAATTAAAAAACAACACACACACACACCTGCAATTTTACCGAAAA